TACTCTTACCAAGTTGGCCAATTGTTGTAGGTCAGACAAACTCTGTCTCCTGGTCCTCCAGGTTGGGGGTTTGAAATAGAATGGCATCCATTTCTGTTAAAACGAATCGTTGCCACATCCGCTGCCTTGCGGACAGGCTTTTGAGCCAAAGTCTTTGGTTGAGGACCCGGGTCGTTCTCCTGTCTAGGTCTGGGCACCCTGGCAGTAACTCAGCCTGCATAAAACCGTGACTATTTTCTCACACTTCAATCATACCTTGTAACGGCCGTCGCGAAGTTTCTCAGTGGTCGCCTTAGCTGCTGCATACAGCAGGGCGTATAGGTGAAAAATGCTACTGCTGGCGCCTCCTTTCTTTTCCAACTGTTTCTCTCATTTCCTGTATCTCTAACTCTCCTCTCTTACTCCCCTCCCTCCTGTAATTCTCACTTTACTTGACGACATCCTCAGTGTCACTGGAGTTATACCATCTGCAACTATGTTCCTGCACCATCTACTGGACACTGATCGCCAACAGCTCCTTATAAAGCCGCACTGTCCCGTTTCCCCAGCTGTGTTCAACGTTCGTACTCCAAGACAGACAGATCAACAGGCCGCACTAGCATGCATATTAGATACGCTGGGTAATGATTAGTGTTGTGTCCGAACCTATGATCATTGATCTTCATTGGGTTGTGGAACTAATTGCACCCGGTTTGTCCTCGCTGTTGGTTGCATGCATCCAGAGATGCTGATGCGGCAACCACTAAGCAAGCTGGAGTGGGCACTGTTCTCAGCTCCAGGCCTGAATCATCGTTAGTTGATTGGATTCCCGTTATCAGCTGTTCCTTTGACGATGTCAACTAACGTTGATTCATGGAATAGCACTAGACGCTGTTTGTTTGTGATTTCCGCTTATGCTCCCACCGGTTACAGCTTTGCTGCTGCAAAGGACATCTTTTACTATGAACTGAGCACGCTACTACGTAGTGTAACAAGTTCAGAAATCATAGTTCTTGCAGGGGGTATGAATGCGCAAGTAGTTAGTCAAATCTTCAGTATATTTATTAAGTGTTAAGTGTGGATTTAACTCCGAACGGACGAGCAACGGTGAGCGTCTGTTACAGCTTTGTGCGGAGCACCAGCTGTTTCTTCATAGTACCGCTTTTAGGCACAGTGGGCGCCGAAGTGCCACTTGGCGTCCTGTTGTAGCTCTCCAGCGATGGACCCAAATAGATAACATTGCCATAAGGTACAGATGGAGTGGTTCAGTGCTGAATTGTCGCTCTTTCTGGTGTACTTGCATCCACTCTGATCATGCCTTGGTACGTCGTCGGGAGACATATCAAACTCCCTCCTCGATTAGCAATTGATAAGTTATCTCATAGCTAGGATCATACCTCAATGGCGTTCGTGCTGTGATTTTCTTTCTCCCTCCTATCCCGCTTAGTCTCCTCCCCCAACCACGATCTCATGTGTTAACATATAATTTTGCATAATAATTGCTTTGCTGCATAGTAGCTTTCCGGAACGATGCCCATCCGTCACCGGCAGCTCAGCTGTCGTGCATCTTTTGCGCATATTTTTCTTCATTTTCTTTTTTATGTATTGTGGCGCAGTAGCTGAGGCGTTTTCCACCTGTAGCTAACGTTTATAATAATGATGATGAGTACTTATCTCACCCCTCGATCAGGCAAGCCTACCAATATGCACTGCGTATCAAACTTGCGATGTCTTGTCCTAACGACACTGAGCTTCATTGGAATAAGATCTCGGCCATCATTCAACGTGCAGAAGCCTCTGCAGCACTATCAGTCGTCACCGTACTAGTCATTAAATATCCGAGGTCGAACTCCAGAAAACTCCCGCCTGGTTCTGAGCACACTGTAACCAGGTGGACTATTAGGCGCGAACTAAAGCGCAACCTGTGTGCTGACAAGGAAGCCTGGTGGACAAGTAGGACTCAAGAAATAGAGGAAACAGGAGCAGTAGGCAACCTCTTCCAACTGATGTGCGCCACTGGTCCCAGGAAACCAGGCGTCATTGAAACAATCAGAGACAGCGTAGCCGCACATATTCGTAATTAGGAGCGCCTTATGGCTCTTTGTGCGGATTACTTTCCCGCGCAGTTCAGATGTACCCCTACTTATGGACCTATTTCTAATCAGGTGTTACAGGCTGAACCATGCCAGTTATTTTAGAGACTCCATCAGAGATTTGAAACGCGATCGCAGCCCTTACTCGCTTTTGTGCTGCTGGCCCGCATTCCCTCACACTTGCACTGGTACGGCGACGATTGATAGTGCCGCAGTCAGTGTCTCCCACGTCATGCGTGTCCCCCGAGACCCTACTCCACTGGAACTCAGTGTCATTAGCGCGAAACCTTGGTACACAGGACATAGTGATAGTCTTGCTTGACTGGAGATCGGGATAACATCGCAGTTCTCAGTAGAAAACGGCGCTTGATACGTCTCTAGATGAAGTTAGTGGAGAAGAGATGGGGTATTAAAACATGACCAGTTGACGCATGTATTCCAGAACAGGCGACAATCCAGGATGGAACCACGCTACATGGTGACTTAATCTATTTAGTTCCATGGCTAGCAGTTCGGCGCCCACTGAGTCTAGAGGTGGTGCTACTAAGAAACACCCCGAAAGTGCAACAGACGATCGCCATTGTCCGTACGTTCGGAGTTAAGTCCATGCCTACCGACTAGCTGACTTTCTGAAGAGTCCAGACAACCGATTTGCGCATTCAGATTTCCTGTAACAACAATTTCTGAACTGGTAACACTGCGAAGCAGCGTGTTCAGTTCGTGACAGAATGTGTTTTCGGTGGCATCAAAAGTGCAATCGGTAGAGTCATAGGCGGCAATTAAAAAACATTCTTGTGCCTCTTCGTGGATAAACTTTAGTTGATGTCGTCAAGCGGGCTGCACACAAACGGCTACTCATGAGAGTCCAATCAAACAACGAGGAATCAGCCTTGGAGCTGAAAACGATGCCCACTCCAGCTTGCCCAGTGGTTTCCGCATCAACTTCTCCGGATGCGTGCAATCAATAGCGAGAGGACAAACCGTGTGTAATTAATTCCACCACTCCGTGAGACTCATTGATCCTAGTTTCGAACACACAACACTAACCAATACCCAGAGTGTATGCGAGTGTAGGCTGTTGACCTATTTGTCTTAGAGGGCCAACACTGAACGCCGCCAGTGAAATGAAGTAGCGTGGCCTTATAAGTGGATGTTGCCGATAGACTTCTGGCGCATCGTGTGTGTCTAATATGCGTGCTAGTGCGGCTTCTTCTGTTTGTTTCATAGTACGAACGTTGAACGCAGCTGGGGAAACGGGACAGTGCGGCTTTATAAGGAGCAGCTGGCGATCACTGTCCACTAGATGGTGCGGGGACATAGTTGCAGATGGCCTAAGTCCAGTGGCAACGCGGCGGTTATCAATAAGGCTGGGATCTATGAAAATGTTAGCAATGGGGTTCTGGACGAGAGTAGGAGAACAGATGGGAGAAGAAAAGCAGAAGCTTCAGCAGCAGCATATTTTCGCATATCCGCCCTGTTGTATGCAGCAGATAAGGTGACTGTTTTTGGCACTGCGCGACGGCTGATTCAGAGGTGATTAAAATAAAAAAATAAATCGCCAGCTGTACGCTGTAACAGCGCTTCGGTGCCGCGCGACCACCACCAGTCGCGCGTGGGCTGCGTATACTGCTAAGACACCCGCCCCTACGCGGATTCGAACCGGTGACCTTATGGTTGCAAACCAGACGCGCATATCACTCGGTCACCGGCCGACCGAAATGTGATCAGATTTCGATGAAACCGTTATGGTTGTACGCAGGTTGAGATACTGCCGCTGCGGCCCAATCTATACATGTGTACGATTGCGGTTCTCAGCCAAAGCATTTAGTTCAAAATTCTGTCCGACCGAGTCGAACGCATCTCGAATGTCCAAAAAGGTGACAATGGTAGGCTCGCAGTAGAGGTGGCGCTGCTCGAGGAGTTAGCAGAGCGCAGACATTTGACCCACACATCCTGGGCCAGGCTGGAAACCAGCTAGTTCCTCACGGGATTGTCGTTTTCGAATCGGTGTTAACCTGCGTAGTAGAATGGGTGTTATTAATTTGGAGGCGACAGATATTAGGCTGATTTCTCTGTGGTTGGCGCATGAAGTACAAGCACCCTTTTTAACGATTGGTACGATTTTCCACTCGCTCCAAGAGCATGGAACATGTTCTCCACACTAGATCTTGAAGAACAAAGCTATTAACTTGTTGACAATTGCTTCACCACCGTACATGAGCAGCTCCGGAGGAAGTTCGTATGACGAATTAGGCACTGGCGCGTTTCCGTTAAACAAAGAACTAAGGATTCACCTAGTTCACTCAAACCTCAACGAAGTAGCGTACTTGGCTATTTTTCTGTGGTTATCGACTGCTGGGGTTATGGTAACCGTTCTTTTTCATGGCAGGCGTTTCCATGTGCTGTACAGCTGCTGATTGTCGCACACGTGTGAGACACCTTAGGATGATCACGCGTTTGCTGTCTTGCTTCAAACTGCCAGTTTCTAGTCTGTTCTAGGGTTTCATTACATTTTGTCCTTTATCCATCTTGTTTCGTATCCCTTTTTATTGCAACTGAATTTTTAATCCAACTTTCAGATCAGGATTTACTTGTCACGTCATGATGCTGCGTAGTGGAACTTCAAATTCCGACTGTGGACCTGGTGCAGTTGATGCTCAATAAGTTATTCTTTCACTCAACCCCAGTAGTTTTATCAAAAGGGAAATCATATCTCATCGATCCCCCGTAATTTATAATTTTCATCCTTGTTCATAATGTACGACAAATCACATCGGTGTTTTTAGCTCACTGGAGCTAAGGCCCCTTCCTTAGAATTTGAATCGGCCTACATCTAATATGGCACCATCATTAGACATGCCCTTCCATATTTGTCTTTTTTAGGCGTATTGTTGCCTTTTTGAAATATCTGTCCCTTTTCCACTTTCAGGATCTTTTATATCACGGATATCTGTAGTTTCTAGGCATGCACCGGACCACTCGATTGATTGCTGGCGGTTTCGTGGCTGCGTTTGCTGCGCTTGATGGTCATTTAATCCTTCCGTCTCCCTCTAATCCCCCTTCCACAAATTCACGGACATTATCCAGCTTCTATTCGAAAGCAAGATCCTACTTGCGTGAATGGAAGCTATTGGCCTCAGTGCAGGCCGAAACTGGGGACGCGATTCCCGAGGTTACTCCTTGGAATTGGAATTGGGATGGAATGCATCGAGAGACAAATGCGACGAGTAGCTGCCTCGCTCGTGGAGATGAACCTTCACGGAAGCCTAGATGTTCTCGACACTTGATTTTTATTCGTCATGGACAGTACCACTATGCTGACTCCGATGCTGAATGTCATCTGACTTCATTAGGCCATGAACAACTAAACTTCACGGGACTTCGTCTGAAGCATCTCAACTTTCCTTATCTGACTCTCTACTATTCCACCATGACTAGAGCTGTTGAGTCGACCGAAGAGGTACTTAAACACCTGCCGGATGTGAAAGTGGTGCCTTCAGTGTTGTTGCGCGAAGGTGCCCCCTATCCACTGGAACCACCAATCCCGTCCTATCGCCCAACCGCGAAAGAACTAAAAGAGGACGGCGAGCGGATTGAATCTGCCTTTAGAACGTTTGTCCATCGTCCCGATGCCAGTCAAACGCAGGACACTTACGAAATTTTTGTGTGTCACGGGAATGTGATCCGTTATATTGTTTGCCGTGCTCTACAGTTGCCACCTGAGGCGTGGATTCGTTTCTCACTCGATCATGGAAGCATAACTTGGCTAGTAATCCGGTCAGATGGTCGGGTAGCTCTCAAGTGTTTGGGTGATTCAGGTCACATTCCTCCTGACAGAATATCTGTACAGTGATTAAGCGCCTTTTGCACACACGCCAGATTCTCCACGTGGTCTTTTGCATTTTGTCTTCGGTTTTATTATTTATGCGCTTTTCTTTTGCATTATTCTGGTTTTGATTAGTCAACCCTATCTTCTTGCCATGTATCTAGGATTTAAATTTAGTTGTGAATGCCATCCTCTTCCAAATGACCTGATGTACACGATGATCAAATAATAATAGACTTCCTACACTCTTTTGTCGCAATCCCCCATCAAACCGGTGAGTGTGTGTGAAATGCCACTTAGTGATGCAGCGCAGATATCTCCCATCCACATTACCAACTTGCTGAATAATTTTAAATATTTTTACGCAACTTATTTATTGCTAGTTGAATTTTATCTTTTATAAACCTCTGATACACTAAATATCATGATCTTATTTTCTGGCTGTTGCTGGTGGGAATGATATTGAAGAGTTTAATCGAGTTGTCTTTAGAGAAACATTACCGACCCATGGCTTCGAATATATTAGCTGTCTTCTCACATTTACTCTGGTGGGTGAACAGCAGTTGATCTGTGTCGTTCCACATGGTTTGCAGCATCCGGTTTCGGATTTGTCTGTCACTCTGGCCAGCCACATGACGTCTGCGCCTACAGAAGGACCATGGGTGGCTTGCGCTGCACCACCCACAGCTCCAACCACACTCCCCATATCCAGTGTAAACCCGAAGGAATAGGACCGGGAGGCATGTGGATGAGAGCTACGTTTCATCAACGGAGCCGGTCCACACTTCTTCACAGGCAAACACAAGCACGGTGTATCTGGAGTATCAGGCGCACGCATTACAGTGGCTGAACAGTAGTCTGCTCCACACTGGGTGCATGGAATTACTCTTCGAACCTACCACGTCCACGACGACCGTGCACCATGCCTCCTTCAGCAACAACCAACTGTCTGGAGCCAGTATAGTCGAGGTAGTGGGTAACAGACAGGTAGGCACCTCGTCAAACGCAGCCACACCGGGGATGTCAAACAACAACCAATCACTTGAAATGGCATTATCAAATAAAATGTATCGAATAAAGCATACAGGTATGTTACCAATGACGCCTCCACTCTTCTTCTTATTCCGCTCCACATTCTCCTAGTCCCCATTTCACTTGACTAATCATACCTGTCCCAACCCCAACTCGCTATCCTACTGATTGCTCGGCGCAGCCGTACGCCTCCACAAAAAGCACTCGAGATCGGTTGTTGGGACCTGCGCACACCACTGGACCGGAATACGAATGAGCGCCTCGAACGACGCACTGTGCTAGTCACCATGGAACTCCGTCGTTACGGAATTGATTGCTGGCTGACCAAGGCACGCTGCACGAGGATAATGCTAGTTACATCTACTGGGTGGGAAACACAACCACCGCACTACTTGAACATGAGTTTGGATTTGCACTATCCCGCCACTTTAATAGCCACTTGATGGAAGGGCCGACTAGTATCAGTCCAACATTGATGACACTTCGTCTACACCTCGGATTAGGCAAGTTTGCAACTCTTATTAGTATGTATGTTCCAACCGTGTTATCCTGATGACACAGTATCAAATTTACTCTCAGTTTTCCTCCGTGATACTCTCCGCGCCGAGCAGTGATTGGAAGACTTGGTGCTTTCAACTCGCGCTTTTGGTGTGATGCCGTGGCGTGGGTATACCTAATTCGGCCGCATGGTATTAGCTTATCCAATGGGTACGGTAACTATCTGTTCTCACTGTGTGCCACCCACGGCCTGACAATCACACTTGGTTCCTACTGAATGCGAGTGGTCACGCTCATCTGCCCGACGATGTCGTCACTCCAGCATGACACTAGTGCTACGTGGAGCTGAGTTTGTAACTAATCACAAATTGATGCGGATCAAATTATACAAGTATTTTCGTAAACCCATTTGCTTTTCCTCTATTGTGAACCGGCAGAAATTTATTGTTCATTGTCTAGCTAATGCTGAGAAGAGAATTGAACTGGAGAATGCGATGGCGACCTGCTTTGACGATGTTGACCTCATTGAGTAATCCAGCGCACTAAGACACCACGTGAAGAAACCGGTGGCCGCTGCGGCCAAGAAAACAACCGGGGGCGCAAACTGGAAGCCATCCCAGTGGTTTGTTGATAACAGTGCGACCATTGGTGCACTAGTTTCGGGAAGAATACAGCGTTCGCTGCACATGTAGTGGATCCTGGAACCTCGAAGAACGGTAAGTGCGAAATTGATTGACTCGGGAGCTCTTACACATCCAGAGCGCGTGGTAGACGGAGAAGGTAGATCAAGTGGAATGCTATGGTGAGCGCCGCCAAAACGAGGAGTGCTATGACTCGTTGACGACATTGTATGGTCCCGTTTTGCCGTCGATGAGGACGTTGGTGGACGTCACTTCGAGTACTACCTGAGAACAGATTACAGACATTGCGCAGGTATAGCACAACCATTCCCTGAAAAATCGTTCAGTGATTGTGTAGAGCGTCGATCGTGTGCTATATATCCGGTACCAGACTAGACGGCCACCCAAAGGTAATTGGTAGAACACACAAAAATCAAGCTAGCGAAATGTTTATTGAACGTAAGAAGAACCACCTAATGCTAAAAATGGCACCAGAGAAGAGCTATCTGGGAAGTTGTAGCTGGGCGTCGACTGCAAGGACTTGTATCGTTCACGATCCGAGTCGCGCGCTTCAAAAGCGGATATGGTATTTGTGTTTCAAACAAACGGAAATAACATTCCCATAGGCAAACCGCCTAATTCCCTAACACAAGAAAATTATAATTTTAGAATAATTTACACAGTCATACGGGGGAATCTCCAGGCTACTACACAGCCCCCTGCTAGAAGGGAAACCGTGGGTGACTCTTTGATCTATGCGAGAAATGTCCATCGTGGGCCAGCCTTCTGCGAGAGCAGGTGGTAAAACCTGTTGCAGCTGCTGAGGGAGAACCAGGCGATCGTAACCTAGCGGGCTCCCACCCGTGTCCTCCCTAACAGTGCCGAAAACACAAAATGGAGGGAATGTTCGAAAGTTCGTTCGCTTCAACCTCGTCATCTTCTCCGGCTCATACATGGAAGGTAAAGGGAAACAAAAGCAGTGACAGCGGTGGCGAGGGAAAAAGCAACATTGACGCTTACCGGATGCGGTAGGCAGCAAACAAAACGCAACAATTTTTTGTGTTTTCAAAGCATTTTCCTTCTTTTTTGAGTTTTCGAAAACTTATTCGATTTTTTGACGTTTTCTAAAGTTGTTGCTTATTTTTGGGTTTTCATACGGTGCTAGCCAAAACGGAAAATAAATGTGGAAGAAAAACTAATCTCTTAACCTTGCTGGTCAGTAGACTCACCTACCCGACCTAGTCGACTTGTGCGGTTTCAAGGAAGGCATCGTCTTAGGCGTTCTATCAAATCGCAAAATTGGAGGAATTGCTGTTGATGTGCCGCTTCGTTCGCCAGGAATCGGCGGAAGTGAAGTGGGGGGCTTAGATGGAGGGTGCTGCTTGGAGTCAAGGATGTTTGAAGTAGGTGAGTCTTCCATTATAGGTTGGGTTAATTCGTCAGAAGACTGGTAAGCGTCTTCATCGAGCTCAGATTCCACGTGGGCAACTTTGAGACGGTCAATAGTAACGGCTTCTTGTTTACCATGACGGTCGCTGCAAAACTTTTAGAGGACCTTAGTAAGGTCGCTCAAGTGGTCTGCGTACGCCGTCATCAACACGAAGAAAAACGAACGGACAATGCCATAAGGCTGTATGAACGTTGGACTTTCTTCGTTGTTCTCTCGCGTCGGTAAGCTTGATGTGACGCATGTTCGTAACTAGTTGCCGAGCGTTATTGGCGTCGTAACGGGGAATTCTGCGACTCTCGGAAAAGAAGTCACCAGGTAAGCGTAAAGGTTGTCCATATGCTGCTACGGCACGACGTACTGAGATCGGCCTTCAGGGCTGATCGGATGCTAGTAAGCATCATAGGCAAAGCTTTGCCCAACAGTGCATTGGCGGCGCTGAGTGAAGCTTTTAGTTGCCGATGGAAATGTTCCACCATGCCATTCACTTGAGGATGATATGCGGTAGTATGAATGCGTCGGCATCCGATAACCTTAAGATTGTTAAAGTCGAAGATTCGAACTGCAGACCGCGGTCGGTAGTCACTGGCTGGACAGCCATGTGAAGCGACCCTGCGCTCGACGAAAGCGCGAGTTACGGTTTCCGCAGCTACGTCAGGGATGGGAACGCCTTCGGGCCAACGGGTACAACGATCGATAATGGTCAAAATGTAGACCATTCTTTTGGACGGGGCCAAGAGTCCAACTATGTCAAGATGGAGATAGGCAAAACGAGCTGAAGCGGATGGGAAACGACCAAGCGGGGCGGACATGTGCCGCTGTATCTTGGCTTGCTGACACGTGAGACAGCTGCATGCCCAGCGCGTAAGATCGCGTTGCATCCGCGGCCAAACGTATCTCTCGGAGACGATGTTAGCAGTAGCTTTATTGCCTGGGTGGGCGATATTGTGGAGGTTGTCGAAAACGATACAGCGAAAGGTTTCTGAAACGACGGGCCGAGAGCGTTTGGTAGATGTGTCGCTTAAAATTGTGCCATCCGATGACGGCAGAGAATGTGGGGATATCTTCAGTAGAATTACGGAGCTTCTAAAAACTGGTCGTTTGATTGCGCGGCGGCCATAGCAGACAGATCTCGGCAAGACCGCTCGCAGATACTCTTGACAGAGCATCAGCGACGAGGTTTCGTTGATCCGAAATGTTTCAAATATCAGTCAAGAATTGGGCAGTGAAATCCAACTGACGAATCTCACGTGGTGTGTGTCGAGCTGAGTGAATTCAGTATGCGTAGATAACTGGCTTGTGATCGGTGAAGATAATGAAGGTCTTCAAGGACGTGTTGGAAATGTCGAATGGTAGAGTAAACAGCCAGAAGTTCGCGACCGAACGTGCTGTACTTGACTTCGGCAGGTTGTAGGCGTCTAGAGTAGAAAGCAATTGTTTCCAGCATCCATCGATAAGTTATTGTAGGACGGCGCCAATGGCGATGTCCGATGCATCAACAGCAACGCTGAGCGGAGCGTTCGGATCGGAAGGGTGAAGCATAACGGCTTTGGCTAAGGCCTCTTTGCTGGCCTTGAACGCTTTGGCGGCAGCAGCAGTCAATTCCATCTGGCCGTTTTTACATCCACGAAGTAGGTCGGTTAGTGGACTTAGCAAGTTGGCATAGTGTGGAATAAAACGTCGATAATAGCTGATGATGCCGTTAAAACGGCGAATGGCGGTTAACGTAGTCGGAGCCTGAAAGTCTCTGATGGCGTGGACTCTATCGTTTAGAAGTCGTATGTCATACTGATCGATATGGTGGCCAAGAACTCCGACGGAAG